GAATTTGTAATTCTCAGGATAATCTTGTGGAGCTTCCCTGTGATATGAACTTATAATTAGCATAATCCCTGTCATATTAAATTTCCTTAAAAATTCACTTTACCTAATATATTTTAAGTTGAAAATTTCCAACTTCTGTTGATTAATTTTTAGTTTTGTATACTACACAACTCTTTGTGTGTCCTAAATGTTTATATGAATTCACTTGGTACTGCGGAGACATGTAATGCATCTCAGTTAGAGGGAAGAAGGGAGCACAAGAGTTCCTGTCTACAATTTATAAGAATCATTATTTAGTTTTTGCAGCAAAAGATAGTTTTCTTTTCTTCTCTATCCCTCTCCTTTCATGTTTGGATCAAACCCAGTGCCCTAAGCAGGTGCTGTTCCACTGAGCTATACCCAGCTCAGAGGATGGCTTCTGCAGAGAAAGATCATTGGATATTCTGTGCCTAGACTTTTCCTTGGTTGTGGCCTGTCTTCATATGTGCAGGTAGCTAATATGGACTTTGTTCATGTGAACTTAAACTTACAGTACCTGCTCCACAGTGGCAACTGTTAGAGGATGATTTGTGGGGGGGGGGCAATATTGAATGAGGTTTAGATCCCCTGTGGCCAGAGCCATCTTTCCCAGATACTCAAAGATGGTAATGCTAATGGTGATGAGGCTCAATAGCAGTTAAGGGCATTTGCTGCTCTTTCAGAGGACCCAGGTTTGGTCCCCTTACTCTCATGGTAGCACACAACCATTTGTAACTCTACTTCTAAGGGATGCCTTCTGACATACTTGACAAATGCATTCTTGCAGAAAAAAATTCTTATACACATAATTAAATCTAATAAAAAAGACCTTATGATGGCATTGCTTTATTGTTTTGTAGGACATAGAGACTTTTCATTAAGGGGAAGTTTTTACTGGCCAAGATGATGTTCTTAGATCTAATAATTATTGTTGGGAGGGTTTAATGTTTTTAATGCTACCTTGATTGCCTATCACCTTCATCCTTACTATTAGGCTAATTCCATGGTATACCAACTTCCAGATACACACATATACATAAGACTTATTTTTGAATCTAGCTGGTTGATATTTGAGTAATTTTGTTCACATGTAAGACAGCATTATTGCTAATGATATTAAGTTATGATAAGTGATGTCTTTAAGAGGGTTTCAGAACTAGAAAACTAGGCTAGAGGTATAATTTTCTGGTGAGAAACACCTCTCTCTCCTCAAGAGATTTATTACCTTTCAAGTAGTTTACACATGTCACTTCCATTAATTCTTGTGATAACTATGTAAAAGCTGTCTCCATCTTGGAGCAGGGAAAACTAAAATTACTGCCAGAAAGTTGATTTTAGTCATTTTCATAATACTGGTATGCTTTCCCTGCCAAATTCATATACATTCTGGAAAAAAAGACAACAAAAAACCTACAGTTTACATAGTTGTCTTCTAGTCACAGTTTTATCAGAAAAGTAATGTGAATAGCCTGCTTCAGTCAGGGACAATAGGTGCATGCGTATCTGTGTGGTGCATTCATTTTTAAGTATTTATGGGGTGTAAGAATGTAATGGTAACCCTGTATAGTAACAGTGATTGTGTGTTTTAAACCGAGATTTCATTCCCATACAAATGAGCTCTGTGAGATTATTATGCTAAAAATAACAGTATTTGTCTTTCACTCAATTTATCTACACTTCATAAAATTCTTCAAATATTACTTCATTATCTTAAAATTTGGTTTGCAGTATGTGAAGTCTGTGGAATGGTTTTTAAATATTTATGAAGTAGTTCTGATTTTTGCAGGTGGTGTAGACTCTTAGGAATATAGAGCTTAATTTAGAACAGAATCCTCTTTGCTGCATTTTTCATTTTTAAAACCACATTACAATAAATCTATCTGTGTCAGCTATACTGACATTGGTTTATATATCTCTCTATAGTGCTTTCATTAGGTAGAAAATTTCTCTTAGTTTATAGTATCCCAATTGTGATCCAAGGACTGCTACTGCAGATAATACTTGTATGTTTCTCTCTTCAAAATTCTTATCATGTAGAATGTGTAGGTCAGATCAGTACTCCAGTTTATTTAAAACAAACACATCAAAATGCAAACAATTAATAAATATCCTAACAAAATAGATTTTAAGGCCTGAAAGTTTAGCTACGTAGTAGAATATTGCCTTATATGATGAGAAAATTATTAATCTTCTGTCTTCAGGAAGATTGGAATTAAGAAAAATTTTAAGCAGTCTTGCCAATCTGTACCCATTTTTGCACACTGCATAACAGATGTTCACCAATGCTTACTTGCACACATCAGACAGACACACATGGTATGTGTAGATCTAATACATATATTAATTATCTGGATTCTGCCATACATGCTACAACATATATTTGTGTTAAAAGATCATGTTATATACTGTAAATATATGATTTTTGTCAGTTTTAAGTGAAGGGAAAAAAGGGTGGGCAGTGGTGGCACATGCCTTTAATCCCAGCACTTGGCAGCAGAGGCAGGTGGATCTTTGTGAGTTTGAGGCCAGCCTAGTCTACAAAGAAAGCTACACAGAGAAATCCTATTGTGAAAAAAAAAAAAAAAAAACCACACACACACACACAAAGAAAAGGGAGGCTGTCTTCAAATGTTAGAGTGTAATAGGAAAACTGTAATTCATTTATTTATCAGAAGTTGTCTTTATCAAGCTGACAAAGCCTTACCTGATGTTGTATATGGGCTGGGAACCAAACAAAGTATTTGTAATTTTCCAGATCTGTACAACAATGGCACAGAGTGCTGCTATAGATCCCTCTAAAAATAGTACTGCCAAGGAATCTCATACTAAACGTATTCTTGATTTTATGTCAACTTAACTGTTAAGGAAAGTTGAGTCTATTTATTTAAGAGTTGTCTGTTTTAAAAAAGAACTAAAAGCACTTATATAGGTTGGTATTTGAATATACTTGGTAGTATGCCTGTTATAGCATGTAAGTGATGATATGCTTCCAGCTGGATAAGCAGGGTAGAATACACATCTTATTGTAGTAGCAAATTAGTCTCAGCTGGTTTGAGTACTGTACTTGATAGTCCTGTGGAATGCTATCAGATCTTGGTTTTCAAAGTCACGTCTATGGACCATCAGTGTTACCTCTGAGACAGACATAGTCTTGGCTAGTTCCTGGGTTACTCCACAGGAATCATCACTTAAACAGATTCTCTTAGTGATTTGTATGTCCATTAAAGCTTGAGAAGTCCTGCTATAGAACACAAAAAGCTTATAATTTGGACACTTTTGTAATTAAGGTTACAAAGTTAAAAAATTTAGAGATCATTTATATGAATACTAAACATGCTCACCTTAAAAACTCCTTTCTTGTTTGGCTGATGATAGCCCATAGAATGCTACTGGATCTTGTTTTTCAAATGCATTTTGGTGCATTTCTGTACTTTGATTCTCAATCTTATGTAGCAAAGAAGATAAAGGGTGAAAAGAAGCAAAACCATTGCTGTAAATCTACTTAGTGGCAGCCTCTGTCATGACATAAAACCAGCTTTTCAGAGGAGAAAGACTTGCTCAGACACTGGGGTGTATAATCACTACGGGCTTGTTGTGCACATAAATAGATGCTGAGTGAAGTGGTGTATAGGGATTAGATGCCCTACTCAAGGGGTTGGTAATCGAGCCTGAAACTGTCCTTGCAAGGCATACCCATGAGCAAAACTATAGTATTCTGGGATGTGACCATGCGATTCCATTGGCTACCTTTCCTTCAAGTGTGCACTTCAAGTGTTACACTTCCTTCATCCCCAAGAATCTTTCCTGCCAATGTCAGAATTGTCTGCCATTGTTTCATTACACTTGAGGCTGTTAGAACTCTGAATAAGAAGTAGAAACATGTGACTGCTTCCTGTTACTATATTTAAATAAAAATGTTGTGACACACTCTACCTTTTCCTTCCAATTTAATTTAGAGAAGAAAGCTTTTGTTTGCATTCTCCTTGTAATGTTTGAAAGCCCCCTTCAGCTACTTAGCTGAGATGACTCCAGGAGCTCACAGACTTTTTGTGATGAACTTTTGTTTTCTTTCACCTCTTGGGGCACCAAGTGTACAAATGAAGTTTTGCTCAATAGTGTGAGACAATCAAGCTGTAGTGGTTGGTTGGCTAGTTACTTTTGTGAACCTGGGCTCTTGCTTGCTTCTTTCATTCATGCCAGGGGTTTGGCATACAGTTTGACAACCTTTTCTAGCCTAAAGAATACTACCATGACTGCTAATGTACACTAACCTTTCTTTTTAATATGTGGTAAGGAAATTTTATCCATACCACTTTCAATTCTGTTCTTAACTAGTAGTTTGTCTTTTTGTCATGGATGTCCAGGAAACCTTTGTGGTAGGAGACAGTTGCTATTAATTATTAAAATTTAAATGTCTTAAACATGTAGGACTGGTGAGAACACTCAGAGACAGAAAGTTGTCTTCTAGTAATACCCAGTTTTCTGTCACCAGTTACTAAGCATATTAATAATAGCAGAAAAGGGTCCATGCCATAGCATTTCTCTTAAACAAGGGATTGATGGGAAAATGATAGTGTCTCTCGCTACAAGATGGTGAATGCCATTCTCTTTCCTTTCTGAATGCATTATTCACTCTTGAAAGTCTGCATGAAACCTACTTAAAAACAGAAATGGAAGCATTTGTTGGCTCCTTCTGGTCACAGGTCTTTTCACCCACACATTCTTAGCCACTTATTTAATCATTGAGATTGAGAGAAAAACAATAAAATAATAAAGAAGTGCACTATAAATGTCCCATTTAAGAATTAATTAAGGGATTTTTTTTATATTACACCAGGCCTGCTAAATACTGTGCCCACTGTGCAGTCATATTTAGATTCCTCACACCAGACTTGGTGAACACCATGCCTACCTACTGTGCAGTCATATCTTGGTGGCTTATGTCAGGCTTGGTGGACACTCATATCCCTTTTGTTCCACAGGAAAATGACTCAGGCCCTTTGGACACAGTGGGTGCTGTGGTCGTCGATCATGAAGGGAATGTGGCTGCTGCTGTCTCTAGTGGAGGCTTGGCCCTGAAACATCCAGGGAGAGTTGGACAGGTAAGGATTTGTGGGTTACTTAATCTCCTTCTCAAAACAAAATCCAGTCTTGTCTAAGCACAACCAGCAAACTACTAGGGATATTTTTTCCTTTGGAAAAATAAAACTCCTTGTTCTTGAACATTTACGTTTTTATAGATCAAGAACAAAATTCCTTTTCAGTCTTATTCCTTTAAAGAACTATCTCATGGTGACAGGACTCTTGCTGATGTTTGTAACCAATAATCCCAGCTTTCCTGCTCAGCAGCCTGGGATGCACTGGCCTTTGTTTGTAGTAGACATTTAATAATTGTGTATTGATTTACCTCTTCCTTAGTAAATATCACTGTAGGAGCAAGCACTCCCTGACTGTATTGCCCATTGCTTTTGAAATGTGAACATGGTTTTAGACTAACACGTTTTATTCCTTTCATTCAGGTCGTAGTGATATTCTGGCACTCTATGTCACTTCTGATTTTAAACATTTTACAGAGTAGCTAAGATTTCTGGTCACCCTGCATCACAGACAAAAGACTCTATTCATTATGAAGCTTTCTTACTCTTGGTTCTCTTGCAGAGCTTATTTTCAACATGCCTTCCCCATCTTCAATCTTTAATTTTGTATTGAAAATGAAAACTAAGAATGATTCGATTCCATTGGTCTACTTGTCTATTTTTGTGCCAATACCAGGCTGTTTTCAGGAGTATAGCTCTGTAGTAGAGCTTAAAGTCAGGAATGGTGATGCCTCCTGAAGTTATTTTATTGTACAGGGTTGTTTTGGCTATCCTGGGTCTTTTGTTTCTCCATGTAAAGTTGATATTATCCTTTCAAGGTCAGTGAAGTATTGTGCTGGGATTTTAATGGGGATTGCATTGAATCTGTAGATTTCTTTTGGCAAGATTGCCATTAACCCACATACCTACAAACACCTGCATTTTGACAAAACAGCTAAAAGTATACAATGGAGGGAGGAAAGCATCTTCAACAAATGGTGCTGGCACAAGTGGATGATGGTGTATAGAAGATTGCAGATAGACCCATGTCTATCGCCATGCACAAAACTCAAGTCCAAATGGATCAAAGACCTGAACATAAATCCAGCCACACTAAACCTTTTAGAAGAGAAAGTGGGAGATAACATTGAACAAATTGATATAGGAGACCACTTCCTGAATATAACTCCAGTAGCACAGACACTGAGATGTACAATTAATAAATGGGACCTCCTCAAACTTAGAAGCTTCTATAAGGGAAAGGACACAGTTGACAAGACCAAACAGCAGCCCACAGACTGGGAAAAGATTTTTGCCAATCCTACATCTGACAAGGGCTGATCTCCAAAATATACAAAGAACTCAAGAAATTAGTCAACAAAACACCAAACAACTCTATTAAAAAATGGGGTACAGAACTGAAGAGAGAATTCTCAATAGAGGAAATCAAAAAGGCTGAAAGACACTTAAGAAAGTGCTCAACATACTTAGCTATCAGGGAAATGAAAATCAAAACAACTTTGAGATACCATCTTACTCCTGCCAGAATGACTAATATTAGAAACACCAATGACAACTTATGCTGGAGAGGATGTGGAGAAAGGGGAACACTCTTCTACTGCTGGTGGGAGTGCAAACTCGTATAGCCATTTTGGAGGTCAGTATGGCGGATCCTCAGGAAAATCGGAATCAGTTTACCACAGGACCCGGCAATCCCCCTCTGAGGCATATACCCAAATGATCCATATCCATACAACAAAGAAATGTGCTCAACTATGTTCATAGCAGTACTATTTGTAATAGCAAGAACCTGGAAGCAACCTAGATGCCCCTCAATTGAAGAATGGTTAATGAAGATGTGGCACATCTACACAATGGAATACTACTCTGCAGAAAAAAAACAATGGAATCTTGAAATTCACAGACAAGTGGATGGAACTTGAAGAAACCATCCTGAGTGAGGTAACCCAGTCACAAAAAGAGGAAGATGGTATGTACTCTCTCATATATGGATTTTAGACCCAGAGCAAAGGATCACCAGCCTATAATTTACACCATCAGAGGAACTAGGATAAAAAGTGGATTCTAAGATAATCATATAAGTAAGGTCCCTCACAGAGGGGAGAAGGGTCAAGTTCTCCAGAGCACATGGGGAGTGGGGGGGCAGTTAGTGGAGGGAGAACTAGGAGAAAGAGTAGGGGAGGAGAGGTAAGTACATGGGACTAGGAAGATTGAGTCAGGGGAGGAATAGAAGACAGAAAAGACACACACACACACACACACACACACACACACACACACAGAGAGAGAGAGAGAGAGAGAGAGAGAACACAAACATAAAAGAGGTAGCCATTATAGGATTGAAGAGAAAACTGAACCTAAAGAAATGTCTAGTGACCTATAAGACTGACTCCAACTAACACTTTGAGCAACAATGGAAAGGCTACCCTAAATGCCCTTCCCTGATAATGAGATAAATGACTAACTTATCCACCATCATGGAGCCCTCATCTGGTAACTGATGGAAACAGAAGCAAACAACCACAATAAAACACTGAGCCGAACTGGAATCCACATGCAGAGAGGGAGGTAAAGACCATGTTACAGAAACACATAGAGACAGTGGACCTGAACAAGGAGGTGCTAATCGGCCCTCAGACTGATAGCTGGGAATCCAGCATGGGACTGACTCAGAACCCTGAACATGGGTCTTAGCTAGAAGGCCTGGGAAGTCTAAGGGACCTCAGACAGTGGAACCAGGATGTATTCCTGGTGCACAAAAGGACTTTGCGGACACATCCCCCATGGAGGGATACTGCCTTAATCTAGAGACAGAGAGAAGTCCTAGTCCCTACTTCAAATGACTTGACAGATTTAGATGACCCCTCCTGGAGGGCATCACCTTACATGTGGAGTTGGGGTGGGTGGGTGGGTAGGAGGGGAGGGTGGTGGGGGGCATGTGAGGTGGGGGAGAGAGGGAAAGAGGAAGGGAGGGAGAGGGAACTTTGATCGATATGTAAAATAAGAAAATTAAATTAAATTAAAAAAACTAAGAATGAATTTGATATACCAAGTACAATGGGTTTTATGACCTGATTTTACTCATTTCTTATGACCTTAGTAAATATTTGTGACTCAAGATTCGCTCCTTTAGGTTATGAAGATTGTATTTAAAACTCAGTCTGGATCTTGTCCTATATGTGAAATGAAGCTCATTGTGTTTTATGCTCTCAACATTTGAAGTCAATGTCACTGTTGGTTTGGTCATGGTTGTTACTGATTGCTTGGAGCAGTGCTTTTCTCCAGTCATCCCTTGGTATGGACAGGTTTCTACACTATACTTCTATATGCCTGTGATGTGAATGGTAATAGTAACTGATTTCATGTAGAAAACTTATGGGGAGTGATTACTTACCATTTGTATGGTATGCTTGCTTGAATTATAAAAGCCTTTGTTCACGCATGTTTTTCTGTATTATGCAACTACATATCTGTCAATTTTGGAATAAGACAATCAAATTTTCTAAGTCATACGTAGATGTCCTGGTAAAGATGATAAAGAAAGCCAACAGAGTTGCCTCTTTTACTTTGTAATCCCTTGACTTTCTCCACTTTTTTGGGGGGGGGGGTTATAAAATAATAGCAGTAGCAGGGTTGATGGGGGATGTTACCAGGGTGCTGCATCCAAAAGTCTTGAAGCCATTCTGCCACCACAAATGGAATGTCTGTGAAATTTATACATTGATTTGTTTCACTTGGCTTGTTTAAAAAGTTACTATTGTGAAAGCTACAAACTCATCAAAACCTGAGTCAAAGTGCTTAGAGGAAAACACAGTTGCTTGCTTGTATTAAGTTGCTGGAGATACGAAGGTTCAAATGAGAGATAAAACTAGGAAGCATAAAAGCATGGTCTTTCAAAGACTAAGTAAAAATGTGTAGAAAGAGATGCGTTTCAATGTATTGTAAATGCTCAAAGAAATGATTTTTGAAAATTAGCATACCTGCTATAGATACTTAATAGGAGCATAGATTGTAAACTTTTTTTAAAGCAGAGTTTACTTGTTTTAGTGTAAACCATGACAGTTTATAGCTGGAATGTGAGCAAGGAATTATTAGTCTTTATTAGTTACCAAGTTCTGAAGATGAAATACTGTAGTGCTTACTAATTTGTGGAAGATTAGCACAACACATTTAAGTTGCACATCACAGTTCCTAGTAATGAGCTATAGCTGTCATTGGTTATACACTTGCAGTGTTCAACATGTGCATTCATTCACGTGATCCTTTGGCAACAACATGAAGTGTCTATTATTCTTTGTTGTTTTGTGGCATGAGGTATTGAACTCAGGGCCTGTGCATGCTAGGCAAGCACTCAGAACTGTATTCTTTGCCATTACTTTTTTCTTTCTTGAGACAGCCTTACTAACTTGTCTATGCTGACCTTGAACTTCCTGTGTATCCCTGGCTTGCCTTACACTTGTGATCCTCTTGCCTAAGCTGCCAAGCAGCTGGGATTATAGGTCTTTCACTACAATCGCTTGCCACTTTATTATACTCCTTTCATAGAAAACACTAGTTCTGAGACAGTTAAGGCATGTATCATTTATAGAAGCTATTTTTACTAAATAACATTTTCAATACAATTTTACTTCCAAAATCATAGGAAACTGTTAATCATTTTTCAAGGTGGGCATTTTAGTAACAGAAGTGAATAATAGAGGTTCAAGCTCTATATTATTATTATTATTATTATTATTATTATTATTATTATTATTATTATTGTATTTTTGTTAGTAGCTCCTCTTGACCAATTTCAGAAGGTTGAGAAGTAAGACAGCTTTGAAGCTATGGAATTAAGGGTAGATATTATGAAAGGACTTTTCGAAAAGGGTGAACGATACTGTGAATCCTTTTTTAAGAAGGTGTCTTCTCTTGGCTTTCTGAAGGGTTTGGATATATATGGTCAGGATAATAGTGGAGGATAGACTGGATACAGGAAAGGCAGATTCAGCTCTGCCACAGGAAGGCAAGTTGAATGGCTTATCATGCATACCTGCTGGTTTTCTGTTGTGCTAGGAGGGAAACAAAGCCTCTGTGCCATTGGGAAGAATTATTGTTTTGGGATTTTTATTTATTTATTTTTTTTGAGACAAGATCTCATGTACCCAGGCTGGCCCCAAACTGAATATGTAGCTGAACTTGATCCTTGAACTGCTGATCTTGTTGTCTTTACCTCTGGTACTGGGTCATCTGTGCATTACCATGCCCAGAAGCTGTTGTAATGATAGTTGGGAATGGCAACTGTGGTTCACTGTGGTATAGGAGATTTCATTCTGATAGTCCCTGGATTACTGCTTACGGAAGATGATTAGGGGGATGCTTTGTTTTAAATAAAAAAAAAAAAATAGTTGCTGTGCAACTTTCAGGGTGCTGTAGAAGGAAATTATGTTGTCTCCAGAGAGCAGAACCAGCACTATAGATAGAAGTTCTAATAAACAGGTATTTGGCCATCTAATGAAGAACATTGTAGCAGTTAGAAGGATAACATGTTCCTATAAGGCAGTGAGTTTTGGTAACAGAAGCAGGTGGGTGCTGCATGGAGACTCCTACTGGGTAGAATTTTGGCTATTTTAAAAAGTAAAAATGTCAGAAAACCTGAAGTTTTATTTGGGCCCGCTGTTCTTTGCCTGTCAGCTAAGTGAGCCCCTAGAATAGTGTTGGGGGTACCTTTATCAATAGTGGTGAGTACTACATGTATTATAAGTTCTAGAAAATCAACAAGGTATTTTAGACCATTTTAATTTTTGTATTGTGTTTGTTTTTGGTTTGAGACAGGGCTATGTAGCTCTGGCTGGAATTTACTGTGTGGGATTAGGTTTAACCTCAGATCTCCCTGCCTCTGCCTTTTGAGTTCTGGGATTAAACTTAAACACCTAGTTTAAGTTTTATTTATTTATTTTTTTTAAGCAACTTAATTCTTTCAGTGTTAGCCTTTGCTATGAATTCTGTGTGTTGCTCCAGCAAAGTTTATCCAGGTTACTGACTGGCAGGTTAGCCCATAGTAATTTTTCATTACTAATAGTGGTGTAAAGCATTTGCCTAATTTTTCTAGTACTAATAAAAACCAGGAGTCAGAAAATGAGGTTAAAAATCGAAAGCGCTGAGGAATGATTTTTTTCCCAGATCAAAAAAACCTGCCAATCTTTTCCAAGCTCTTCCTTCTCTTTTCTCTTTTCTTTGTCCCTCTATCTTTCTCTGAGTTGGCCAGAAAACTCTATGGTTCATTCCAGCCAGCTGTACCTGTACCCCATCCTCCAAACCAAGGTCCAATTGCATTGGTGGTCTTGGAGACAACAAAAGCAAATCTCCCAAGTAGTGTGGCGATGAACTCTCTGAGTAGCATGCCTCATACTTTCTTAGAGTTTTAAAATTCTACTGGTAAGGGCAAGATAAGTTGTTAGTTATGAATCCCCTCTCAAAGGTAGAAATGTCATTGTAGATGTTGGGGAATGTGGTAATTTGAATGTAATTGGCTGACATAAACCCCAAAGGGAGTGGTACTATTAGGATTTCTGGCCTTGTTGAAGTAGGTATGGCCTTGTTGGTGGAAGTGTGTCAGTGTGGTGGCAGGCTTTGAGGTCTTTTTTTGCTCAAGATTCCCTCAGTGTGACACTAAGCCCACTTCCTGTTGCCTTCTGATCCAGTTGTAGCCAGACACCTACGCACCACCATATTGCACCATGATACAAGTGGACCGAACCTCTGAAACTGTAGGGGAGCCACCACAATTGAATGTTTTCCTTTATAAGATTTACCATGGTCATGGTGTCTTTTCTCAGTAATAGAAACCTTAACTAAGACAGGGAGATAAAAGTAGGCATTCAGAGTGGAATCATTGGAAACAAAATAGGAAGGATTTTCATAATTGTTTATAAGAAGACCACAGTAGTTTATCATGTTGTCAGTGGTTTTGGAAATACAAATCTGCCTTATCCCTGAGTGAAGTGATGAACTGAACAGGTCTTTCAGCCCTCCTTCTTTTCATCTGGCAGTATCGCATACTGGTTAGTATGTGTGTTCTGGGCGCTTTGGCCCAAAGCTGTTTGCAGTTCCTCCTGATTCTGCCTGAAACAGAAGTCCTCAGAGGCTGGGAGCAGCTCCAAGGCCTGGGTAGTGGTCCTACTTCCAGGGCTTCACCAGATGCTGAGGCAGGGGCTCCAGAAGCCAGAATTCTTATCTGTACATCCCTCAAGAAATTCAGTGTTTCTCTTGTTTGAGAATCCTTAGTTTTTAAATCTTTTTTTCTATTTTATTGAAAATAGATTTTTTTTTTTCTCTACTCCTCCCAATACCTCCTCACCTCCCATCAGGATCCACTATCTTTCTGTCATTAGATAACAAACAGGCTTCTCGGGGTAATAATAAAATACAATAAAACAAAAACTAATACTTTGGAATTGAGTAAAACCAACAGAAGAAAGAGAGCCTAAGAGAAGGCAAGAGAAACAGAGATCAACTTGTTCACACTTTCAGAAATCACGTAAAAAAACACTAAATTGGAAGTCGTGTTATATATGCAGAGGATCTGGTGCAGGCTCGTGCATGTCCTGTCCATGCTGTCTCAGTCTCTGTGAGTTCATATGTGCTTTGATCATGTTGATTTAGAGGGCCTTCTATCCTCTCTGCATCTTCTATTGTTATTTCCTCTTCTTCTGAAGGGTTCCTTGAGCTTGAGGAGAGGGATTTGATGGGGCCATCCCATTTAGGACTGATTTCAAGAGCCAGCAGAGTGACTATGAAAGGGAAAGGTTTTTAAGGATGGGAAAATTTGCTGAAGGAAGTAAAGCAACTTTCTTTTGCTGTTTTCTAAGAGCTTTTAGATTATTAGAATAGCAGAACACATTTGCTAATGTGTTGTGTGTGTGTATATGTCTGCATTTGTGTGGGTATGTGTGTATAGATTTGAAATTGATGTTTTCCTTGATTGTTCACTTTATTTGCTGAGGCAGCATCTCTTACTAAACTTGGAGCATCTTGATTCTGGCTGGTCAAGCTATCAGCTTGCCCCATGGATGCTGTATTTCTGCCTCTATTTCTGGGATTACAGGTCACTGCCATGCCTGCCTGGCTTTCTATGTAGGTTTGGGAATCCAAATTCTGGTCATTATAATTACATAGCAAGTACTTTAAATATTAAGCCTTCTCTGAGGCTTTAATAGTTTTTTTGAATGACATATATTATCAATACATATTTTGAGATATAATTTGTCTAATTTATATACATATTGATTTATTAATGTTCTTAGCTCCTAGAGAAAACAGAGTGAAGGAAACAGGGAAAGGTTAGTCAAAGACACAGTTAGGAAGGAAAAATAAATTCTGGTGTTCTTAGAGCCGAGTGAGAGTATGGTTAACAGTAATGGATCGTATATCTAGACACAGAAGATACTGCCTTGAGAATTTGTGTAGTTTTTATAATTTTTAGAACTTTCTTAACTTCTGCTGTTATGAACTAGTTTTTACTGTTATTTCTGTGTGTGCATGCACGTGTACATATGTGTGCACAAGAAGACATCTGGTGTGGCTCTGCAGTCATCCTCTTGTTTTCAGTCCACCCTGTTTTCTTGGGGTGGGGATTCTCTTATTTTCACTTTAATTAGCAGATAGTGTAGTAGGCTTCATTATGACACTTTATACTTAATTTGTTTTGTTTTCTATTTTGTGTTTTGTTAAGAAACTGAGTTTTATTTGATTGATATGACTTTTATCTCATATTGAAAACTGAAAATTACATATAGTATCCACTAAGTATTACATGTGTCTATTTTCTGTTTTTCTAGGCTGCTCTTTATGGATGTGGCTGCTGGGCTGAAAATACGGGAGCTCATAACCCCTACTCCACAGCTGTGAGTACCTCAGGTATTTGCTGCTTTCATGGCCATTTTTCATAGCTACAATCCTATCGGTCATTTAGTAATTAAAATCAGTATTTGGGGGGAACATTTATGAGAGGGTTGATGCATGAAAACCATCATTTGGGAGGTTTAAAAGATTGTTTAGTTTCCTATTATAAATGCTTTACAAACTTTATTAATAAAACTCTGATATTAATGGTAACTTATGTTTTATTATCTAATTATCAATAGATATGGCCCCCATTGTAAAGGGCAAGGGTTTTTTTCGCCCGCCGCCTGGTCTTGTCCCGCCGCCGCGCCAGCCCCAAATAATGCACAGAGACTCTGTATTTGATACAATGTTATTGGCCAGGTACTAGTTTTTTATTGGCTAGCTCTGCCTTAGTTATTAACCCATTTGGTTAATCTATGTATGTCCACGTGTTCTTCTTACCGGAGCCGGCGGCCACGTCCTGCTCTCTCCAGACTCTCCATCCTGACTCCTCCTTACTACTTCCTCCTTGTCTCCTAGTCCCTCCTATCTTCCTTTCCTATTGGCCAACAGTGCTTTATTTATTAAACAGTATGAGAAACATATACAGAATGACATCTCCCATCACCCCATTTACACAATAACATTAATTTTGAAACATCCTTTAAGGGGGGGAAAAAGGTTGGATAAAAGCAGCCATGGGGAAAATTACAAACATAAAACTCACAGGGGAATACTCAGCAAAAAGACAGAAAGGATGTATGTGGACTTCCAGAGAAAACCCAGAGCAGACACAGATGTAGAAGTAATAGGCAAAGAGAAAAAAGTTGAAATCAGGAAGATAGCAAAGACAACAAATCAGCTAGAGAAAACATGTAGAGAACTGAAGAGAAAGAATCCAACACAACTGTTTTCAGGAGGAAGGAAATCCTGTGAAGGGAGCTGAGATAAAGCAGGTCAGAAAAGAAAGGAAAACAAACAAAAACAAACAAACAAACAAACAAACAAAAAAACAAAAAAAAATCAAGTGAGCACCTAGTTCTATGTTATACTGGGCATAGAACTGTATTATAGATGCTTTGTACAGAAATGTCCACAATAGCCATGCTTTTGATTTGAAGAACTGAGTTTGTTAATTGTGCAGCAAACAGAAAAGACAAGAAACAAAAGCAAACCAAAAAATGAATGTGATGACAAGCAGCAGAAGGACAGTGGAGCACACGATCAGGCAGTTAATTGAAGACACAGCGGAAAGCAATGGGCTGGGGCGAGTGGGGGGGACTGTAACAGTCAGAGGGCTATGCTATGCAATGTGTCACTTTGTTAAAGAGATTCACTCCCTTTGGGATTACCTAATTCACCAATAAACCCAGTTTTTAAAAACTGGTGGTGTGGAAATTAGAATAGGGGCATACTTCATAAATTTGATACTGTTAAGTAGAATGCAATGACAAGTAAAGCTAGAACTGCACGACTAAGGTCTTTACAAACTCCCCTTTCCTCTCTCTTCCCACTTTGTCTCCCCTGTACCAATTCTTTCCAGTTCATGGTACCCAGAATTGCATTTGAATGTGGATATGAGTCATGTCATCATGTTACAACCCTTCAAATTAAAGGATGAAATGCCAGAACTGGAGGATGATAGAATAGATACCCTGTGTCTCCTTTCTGTAGGACCGTGTTTGCTCTTTTCTTGTTTTTCCTGAGACTGTTGTTGTAAGGTTGATGATGGAAACTCATGTCAAAGTTGGGTATTCAAGTCATAAGAAAGGTGGGACATAGAATTTTGCAATTATTTGTCCAGAATAAAAAGACTTGTGCCTTGGGCTGTTGTAGAAAATCCAGAAACCTGGCCACTGTTTTGGTTTATATATCTTGGAAGGTGATAATTGAAAAGCAGATAAAAAATAGTTAGTTATGGTCAGAATAGGGCTCTCCCAAGGCTAGACAAGCAATTTGGTCATTAGCCTGAGGAATAAACTCCAGCATCTTGTTCTCATCATTGGCTGGAGATGAACGAGTAGGGGTGTGTGTGTGACAGGAACTGCTCTTTCAAACTCTGACAAATATTCTGGAATCATGGGACTTTGCAACACTAGGGAAGGAACAGAGCAGTCACCTTGCTTCTTGTCCAGACTTGTTAGTTGTGCTTGCTAGTCGTTGCTAACAACAGGAATAATTGGCCATTGCTGTAAGTATGCAGTCAGTTGACAAATGGGAGGTCCCCAGTGCACATCTTTCACTATTTATGTTCTATTGACTATATGTCACATCTTTATAAAATACACAATATTTAATACTATTAATGAAAACAAAAATATTACCAGTAGAACACCGAGAAAGCATTTTCACTTCACTTAGCACATGGATGTTACTTTATGAGAAAATAAGGAACTGAGCGGGCGTGTTCCTTCAGTGATGTGTTTGCTTCACTGGTAATACACTCACTTCCCATTCTGTGCCTAACATTTATAATGGTATATAAACCCTAATCCTTTGAACACAGTGTGAATAGTAAGCAAAACGAACATACCTAATTTCCACATGGTGTGTAACAGAGAACAAATTAGAACAGCTTGCTTTGAGAAACAGCTCTGTCACTACCATAGTGTGGGAGGATATCATACCTTCTGATTCTAGAACATTCCTCTCATTTCCCCTCCTCACTATGTTTTAGATGGCTGAAACTTTCAATGGCTAGATTTGAACTTTGGTCTGTGCTTCTCCTCTTGAGTGCTAGATGACAGTTTTGTCTAATCAGAATTGTTTAAATACAAATACAAAAAAGGCATATTTTAGAATTGGTGAATTATTCAAAGTTTTTATTATTGCCTTTTTTTAAAAAATGAAAATAAGTCACTTGTAAGTTTTTGAAGTAAGGCAGACTTATGAGAAAAGGAGGGCTGTGGGTTTATTCGTATCTCTTGAGAACCTGTCATAGAGTTTTACACATGGTAAGAAACTAACATTTAAAGAAAAGAATTGCACATGTGCCTCCAACAACTTTTAGAGTGATGCTACCTTTTCTAAAGGTTGTGTTCATCACATAATTTTCTTAAGTAACATTTTAAAATATAGTTTAATTATTTGCTGAATTTGGATTTGCACATAATTTTCCAGTTGAAATTAAATGTATACTATAAGATACATTTTTGTTGGTCTCTGTCCATATAAAGGAAGAACATGTGAAGGATTAGAAGATCAGAGGGGGAAAACAGCTGGAGATTGAGTATATGTTCTGGTTGGCCATAAGGTTATCTTCTGTTACTTTTCCTCCTTATCTTCCTCCTCTTTTCCATCCTTCTCCTCTTCTTTCCCTTTTGTTGAAAAATGGATCTTTTTGTCAGATAATATATTCAGATTTTAGTTTTCCTCCCTCTACTCCCAGTTACTCCCCACATCCCCTTCTATCCAGATTCACCCCCTTTCTATCTCCCATTATAAAACAAACAGGCTTCTCAAGGATAACATCTATTTGTCTGTATGTGCATCTATATCTGCCTGCCTGTCTGCCTGCCTGCCTCTATCTATCTATCTATCTATCTATCTATCTATCTATCTCTATCTATCTATCTATCTATCTATCTATCTATCTATCTATCTACCTACCTACCTACCTACCTACCTACCTACCTACCTACCTAGATTAAGCATATATACAAAGAACACAGAATAGTACAAAACAAGCAAACAGAAGGAAATGAGCCCAAGGAAGAGATACATATTCAGAGACTGACTCATTTGCACCTTCAGGAATCTCATAAAAACTCTAAATATAGACATAAAGAACCCGTAGACTAAAAAGATATTTAAAAATAAATAAATACGACAGGCCACACCAGTCAGAAGAACAGATAAGTGATCCACATGCCAGCCAAACTGCCCCACTCCCTAGATTCTGTTCCCTAAGATCTTTCCCATGGCCCACCTTCCCAGCTTACTGCTGCCCTGCTGCCTGGCCCTATCCCCAACACCAGGGGACCTCTGTCTCTTAGAATCAGACAATACCAGTCAGAAAAACAGCGCATTGGCCACCATCCTGTTGGGTCCTTCCCCCAATCCCAGTGTACCTTTGACACTGAGGCTGCTTAGGTGCAGGCCACATCACTAAGAAGAACAGAGACACCCTGCTGCACCAAAGGCCAAGCTAACTGTTAGAAGGCCAGCTCCCAACTTGGACAGATACTCCCTACCAGATCAGAGGACGTGCTGGCCTCCAGAAATCCAGGCCAGAAAGACTAGAAAATCAAAGTGGAAACAAGGGCCAAGGAAGAAAACACCAACAAAGACAAACTCAGAAATTAGACCTAAATCATACCAAACCCAGATACTAAATGCCAGTGTGAAAATACTGGCACCACCAGAGCCTACGTGACCATCCTAATACTCAAGACCTGCATACTCCAACACAGCTGAAGCATGAGAAAAAGACCTTAAAAACAAATTCATGAAAAGGAAGAGGTTCTTAAAGAGGAAGTGAAAAACTCTCTTAAAGAAATCCAAGAAAAGACAACTAAACTTTGGAGGGAATCAACAAATCCCTTAAAGAATGTTAAGAAAGTCAAGGAAAACAAACAGGTGAAGGAAATGATTCAAGATAGGAAAATCGAAACAGAAGCAACCAAGAAAACACAAACTGAGGGAATTATGGAAATGGAAAATCTGAGTACATGGAAAGGAACTACAGATGCAAGCATCACCATCAGAATACAAGAGATGGAAGAGACATTCTTAGGCATTGAAGATGCAACAGAAGAAATAGATTCATCAGTCAAAGAAAACATTAACTCTAAAAAGTCCTAACACAAAACATCCAGGAAATCTGGGGCACTATGAAAAGACCAATCCTAAGAATAATAGGAATAGAAGAAGGAGAAGGATACCAGCTCAAAAACTCAGAAAAATATATATAATAAAACCATAGAAGAACATTTCCTAACCTAAAGGAGAACATGCTCATAAAGGTACAAAAAGCTTACAGAACACCAAACAGATCAGATCAGAAAAGAAAGTTCCCATGCCACACAATAATC